CGCGGTGGGGCGGCGCAGGCTTCGGTATCTTTCACTGACATAATTTTCTTTGCGTGCTAATTGTTATTTTTAAAAGCTGCCTGGTTCTGCTGATAAGATGTAACTTGCTCACTACTGAAAATTTGGGGGAAAATGTTCAAAGTCCCCCCATGATGATAAAGGATTTATTATCGTTTCTTTCTCCTTTCCACCTAGTGAGTGATCTTAATTAAAGTACAGCATTAAAAAACTCATCATTTAAAGAACTCTTGTCCACACAAGCTATTTTTCTTCTGTATTAATTTCATAACCATGTTTTTAACTTATTTAGATTGAGTTCTATGTTTTACTTTAATGATTATCACCATTTACTTTTTAAGTTCATCATTCTTTGCTTTGTGATTTTTATTCAACTTGGTATTCTGGACCACGCGTGAATATTTTTTTCCAGATGTTTCCCTTGGAGCCATTTCTTCTGACCACGCGTAGCTGAGACATTTTATTTTTGATCTTATGTCACTCGGCTGAGTTATAGAATTTTTAGTATGAACTTTTATTTCCTCCAGTGTTATATACTGTAGTTTTGTCTTTTGTCATTTAATGTTCCAGGAAAAAGCCTGAGAGAATCTAGTTTTGTTCATTTGTAGTTAACTTGTTTGTTTTGTGTTCATATTCTTATAGGACTCATGAATTACTTTTGAAATGAAAAAAATGTATAGTTATTCCCTTTCCCTCACCAAGACAACCATTATTATTAATATTCTGGTATATTTCCTTTCAGAATTTTTTCTATACCTGTGTTTCTGTGTGTATGTGTATATATGTGTGTATGAAATCATATTACGCAGTTGGGATGACACAATGCACATACAATTCTCTATCATCGGCATTTCCTACGTCACTAAATAGTCTTCGAAAGCATGGGTTTTTTTTTGTTTTTTTGTTTTGTTTTTTTGTTTTAGCTGAGCCATCCTGCTACCTGTTGGCAGCTCAGCGGCTGCTCAGCTCGGGCTGGACTCGAACTGCTGTTGCTCAGAGCTCAAACTCTTGAGCGAGCTCTTAACCAACTGAGCCACTCGGCCGGCCCTCGAAAGCATGGTTTTAATGACGACTGCATAATAGCCCATCATGTGGATATATCCTACAATTTAATAATGTCTCCATAATTTGGTATTGAGGAACTTTGCAGCTTCCTGCTGTTATGATGTTGTGATATACACTACTTTACATAAATCCTTATGAAGATCTTTATTATCTACAAGTGTGGATTGCGTATTTTACCCATTTCTAATATGATCATTAAACATTGCTCCCTTTAAAAGCATCGTGTGGTCTCGTAAAAGACCATTAGGCTGAGAGTCAGAGGACCTTGGTCTTATTAACCAGGGGAATCTAGTAAAGCCCTTGTCTCACTCTTCTGGTCTGGAAAATGGGGTTAATAATGTCACGTGCTTCACGGTGTACTAGTTACTGAACAGAAAACGTGCACATGTGTACCAGATGCTAATTACACCTGAATGTCACCGCTGTCCCTTGTGAGTGTCCTTCAGGACGTGACTCACTGCACTGGGAGGTGATGTCCTGGCTTCACCCCGGGCTGTTCCAGACCCTTAAGCTGCATTCCGCCATCTCTAACTAAAGAATGGTTGGTTCCCGCTCTGGCTTCACCTTTGCCACGACCACCCCCGGCAGTCACTGGGAGTCACAGGCATGGCTCCGCCCCTCTCCGCCTCAGACCTGCTCTCATGTCTAGGAGAAGCAGACCGCAGCTGAGAGTGTGAGGAAGGTGCCAGCAGCTTCACGCTGTCCTTTCTAGAACCCCTGCGCGTGCCTTGGCAGTTTCAGCCGTCCTGCCCTGGGTAGGAGGAGGGGTAACTCCAGATTATGGAAACCCGACCTGTGTGGGTTATTCCGATTTACTCTTCTTTTCCTTATTTACACAGGGCAAGTTTACTACAGCGAGCGACGTGTGGGCCTTCGGGGTGACCCTGTGGGAGACTTTCACCTTTTGCCAAGAGCAGCCCTACTCCCAGCTGTCAGATGAGCAGGTCATCGAGAATACCGGCGAGTTCTTCCGAGACCAGGGGAGGCAGGTGAGCGCTGTCAGGAGGGCGGACGTGCGCTTGGGAGCCCTGAGGGGGACGAACAGGGAAGTCAGGCCTGGCTGGAAGATCCAGCCTTTGGTCACTGAGCTTCCAGGCATCGTGAAAGACCGAGGTCCTCCCAGACAAACCATCCATACACTCTGCTTTATCCATATGTCAGCCCAGGCCAGGGTCCCTGGAGGGCCTGAGGGGGTCACATCGGGCACCTCGAAGGTACCAGGAAATAAAACCCTGTCCCTCATATTCCATCTATTTCTTGATCTAGACCATGAGGTTTATCTTCCTGGTGCAAAAATATAATCTTGAAAGTGACTAAGTGATTCATTAGCATTCATTAAATGTGGTTCGGACTGTCCAGCCATGTCTCTGGACATCCACGTGCAGACACAGTCAGGGGCCCCCGTTCCAGCGGTTCCGGGCAGGCGCCTCTGGGCCCAGCAGCTGGGACCTCTGAGGACTCAGGAACTCGCATGGGCCCCCGTTCCTGCCCGACACACTGTCAGGCTCCTTTGGCCCTGTGCGATGTGGGACTTAAAGCTGGTGGCTGGGGCCCTGAGTGACCTGTGGGGTGTGGCGTCTGGAGCCAGGAACTGATAACGGGTGGGGGAGGGAGAGAAGGCTCTGGCAGAAAAAGGAAGGCGGGTCCTGTGTGGCTTGAGGAGAGCCGAGCCAGCAGAGGATCAGGGAATGACGGGGGACAGTGCGGCAGCTGAACCCCCGGGGGGCCTGGAGCTGACCTGGTCCCGAATCCTAGAGGTCTGGGAAGCCGGGTCTGCATCATGGGTTCCCAGGCAGCTGCTTTCTTCCCTCCGCAAAGGGCAGATTTGCCCCAGGGCATGAAGTGGGTGAGCGGAAGAGGAAAATGCTTGTTTTTCTCCTGGCCTAAGACACCCCAACCACCAGGCTGACTTCTTGGAAGTACCATGGCCAATTGAAAGTGGTGTGTTCACTGAGAAAATTCATCTTATTTATCACAACACGTTCTAGTTTGAGTATATCCTGGAATTACAGGCAAAGGGAGGACTATTGTAAAGTTTGTGGCCTCCCTCTGGTTATTGTTAAGACTGAAATCCCACAGAGAAAACATCTACATGAGGCAAAGCTGGACCAACAAACACTCGGCGAGGGGAGGGCAGATCTGTCCCGTGTGCACCATCTGCTTTGCTTGTGGAACAGTCTTGATCCTGTACAGCTTTTGACAGCACTGAAGAGGCACACACGAAGCTTTCAAATGTTACAATTCTGCGAGACAATACTGTTTTATCATTTAACAAAGTTTTAGTTTCTAATCTCTGGGATTTAAGTTTTCTTATTTATTTTTAAATAGTTTAAAAGCATATACCATTTTCACCTTAAATACTAGTGGCGAACCAAATATATTCTGATCGAGTACTAAATGGTTGAGTGGTGAGGTCAAACATTTGAGTACAGCCCAGGCTGAGGCCAGATGTTAATGATGATGTGCTGAGCAAGCTTCTCGCCTCTAAGCTTACGTCTAAATTTTCACTAAAACTGTATTAAATTTAACGTATGAACTTACATAATTTATTAAATTCATATGTTATTACTACTGATATATTACTACATTCTATATTATGTTATATAAATTTACAACTTATATTTTATTAATTACTTTATGACTTATTATTAAAATTTCAGTATTCAGATTTTAAAAGTTTGACATTGGTGTGCAGGGACAGTAACTTGTCCACACTGTCAGCTGCTGTGTGGCTTCTGTGGTCCCTGGATCACATGTGTGGTCCAATTCTGCTTAAAATGGCACCATTAGTGGCTACCAACTTACTGGACGTAGCAGACATAATGCAGAAGGAAACGCCCCAGTAACATGAATCCTGGAAGGATTTGTTTACTTCGGGTCCATAGCTTAGGCTGAGATCCTCTATGTTAACTGCAAGCACTTGGAAAGTGACAACAAGGATTTCAATAATTAAAAAATGTACTTGACATTTTTGTTTTCAGTTTATCTTTACAAATTGTGACAAATTCCCAGGTAGTACTTTTCTTGAAAGCTCATGGTCTAAATGGAATTAAATACAGTTTTAAAAGTTTATTTTGTTTAATGTTATGAAAGGTAATACAATTATACAAATATAATAAGAATTATTGTGAAATATAACTTCAGTTATTTGCCAAGTTTATATAATTTTGAAAAAGGGAGACCCTGATAATTTAAACTATATATTATTTCAATTTTAGTGGCATCTGTTGGCTCGAAATGGGTATAATAATATTTTTTCTGAAGTTACCGAGGGAACACCTCAGAAAGGGTTACAGTTTTAAGTCTCGCTGGCAGTAAATGAGAGAGCCTGTCCCCTGTGTCCTCACCTGTATTAGTAACATTTCCTTTTACCGTATTTCCCCATGCATAAGACGCTCCCATGTATAAGATGCACCTTAATTTTGGGGCCCGAAACTTGAAAAAGAATGTATTACATAAAGTTATTGAACTCAAGTTTTATTCACCATAAAATTCATACAACTCCTCATCACTGTCAAAACTCCCAACCATTAGCTTGTCCTCATCTGTGTCTGATGACGCATCACTGTCTTCATATATTGCCTCGTCCTCAGTTCCATCTATGGCATTTGAAATCTACAACCACCGTATAAGATGCACCCAGTTTTTAGACCCCAAATTTTTCGAAAAAAGGTGCGTCTTATACATGGGGAAATATGGTAAATACTTAGTATTTTATCACCACAGTCATTCGTGACACACTGCGTTGAGACTTGTCAGAGCTCATCCGATATCCCAGCAAAAGTCAGTTACTTGCCTTTTTACTGGTTAATGAAGAATTGATGATGGAAAGCTCCCTGACATCAGTCTTTATGGAGGTTTTCTGGTCTTGACACAAAACGCAGACAACAAAAGCAAAAATCAATAAGTGGGACTCCGTCAAACTAAACAGCTCTGCCCAGCAACGGAAACCATGAACAAAATGGAAAGACAGCCCGCAGAATGGGAGAAGATGGGTGTAAATCATCTGTCTGATAAGGGGCTAATATCCAAAATATATAAAGAATTCATATAACTTAACAGAATAATCCAATTAGAAAATGGGCAGAGGATCTGAACAGACATTTCTCCAAAGAGGACACACAGGTGGCCAACAGGTCCATGAAAAGGTGCTCAGCGTCACTCGTCATCAGGGAATCAGAAAGCAGAACCACAGTGCGATGTCACCTCGCGCCTGTCAGGATGACAAGATGACCAGTGCTGGCGAGGGTGTGGAGGAGAGCGAGCCCTCGGGCACTGCTGGTGGGGATGTAAACAGTATGGAGGTTCCTTAAAAACTTAACGGGCAGTCTGTGATCCCTCAGTGACGCTCTGGGCTGGTGTCCTGTGGGAGCCAGTGAGGCAGGGGGAGGGGTTAACGCTGAAGCAACAGACCCGCGGCTCAGGGAGCTTGAGACCTTTAGGCCCCGCGCAGGAATGTGTCAGCCCACCAGGGCATTCAACACGTGGTGAGGAGATGACAGCAACAGGCCGCAGGCAGGCAGGTGACCTGGGCGTCAGCGGAGTGGTGTCTGGCGGGTGGGACTGTCCGTAATGGCGCCACGTGCAGCCCTGCGCTGGCATTCAGGGAAGTGCCTGGTGTGCAGGGTAATATCAGGAAGGAACCCAGGCTCCTGTGGGGGGCAGGGAGCACCGAGGGCGTGGTGGTCAGAGGCCACGGGGACATGCCCTGCACCCCGCTTTCTGCGTCTAGCTACGGCTTCGCTCAGGTCCAGGAGCTGTGGGAACTGATATGCCTTCCGCCCACCATGACTGTCTCGGCCAAGATAAACCCCAGCATGGCTGGTGGGGAGGACATGGGGGAGGCATAAATGGATGGCTGGTGTTCTACCCACTGCTTCCCCGTCTGAGATGTCTTTTTGCTTCTGTTGCATCTTTTGCATGATGGTGGGGACCCCATGGTCCATCAGGAAACCCTGCTCTAGGGCAGTGGAAAGGACACAGGGTGGCAGGGGTTGCCGGGCTCTAGAACCCTCATGATGCGAAGAAGGGACACCACACCCATCTCAGTTTCAAGTTCAAGGAAGTGGAAAGTGGGCAAATCAAGCGATGACGAGCACCCACCGTTCCGTCTCTCTCTAATTAATATTCTCTTTTTGTTTCTCTTTGTTCCCAAAGACCTACCTCCCCCAGCCGGCCATTTGCCCCGATTCTGTGTACAAGCTGATGCTGAGCTGCTGGAGGAGAGACACCAAGCACCGGCCCTCGTTCCAGGAAATTCACCTTCTGCTCCTTCAACAGGGTGACGAGTGACGGTCCCCGCGGAGGCGCCGCCCTCCTCGCCAGGCCTGCCACTCACCCACGAAGCCACTCCGTCTGGACGTCGAATGAGCTGAGGGACAGGCTCGTTTGCTTCTCTCTCTCTCTCTCTCACTCGTCTCCCTCCACTGCACTCCCCACTCTCTACCCCCGACCCATATATACATTTTTTTACATTAAAGAACTAAAAAAGAAAAAAAAAGCCTAGGGCAGATAAGGTCTAGTAAAGATGTCTTACCTGATACAGCAAAGTGCTGGATAGCAGAGGCTAGATAATTTAGATAATTTATAAAGGGTAAATACGCTTGTGTTGATACATGTGCAGATTCTACCATGTTTTTTCCATGTCACTGTTAAAAGAATAGTTTCAGAAAGAAAAACTTGAAGAATGCTGACGTCTTAGCAGACGTGATTGGGCTTCGAGAAAACCGCACTTGTTAAGTGTGGAGACTGATGACACGGCTTCCTAAGTGACCACAGGTGCTTCTGTTTCCTGATGTGGCCTCTGGACTGTCCCATAGTCTGCGTTTCCCTTCCCTGTTGAAGGAGAAGAGACACGCTTGGAAGCCCCCAGCTTCTTGGAGTGGGTGTTTTCTTCATTCGCGGCGGGTCGGGGTGGAGGTCTGTGTGCCAGGAAATACAGAGGGAAGCATGTCTGCTGCAAGGTTGTAGGAAGGGAACAGTCATTTGCAAAACAAAACAAAACAACAGAAACGTACTGGCGCAGGCAAGGTTTCTTAGATGGAGCGGCCACAAGCAGTGGCCCGTGGAGGACAGGTGACAGGAGTGCCCCTCATATCTGCAGAGGCCCCCCTCGCCCCCCTTGTCTGGGTCAGACCCCTTCAGGTGTGTTACTGAGAGCGTGGTTTTGAAGCTGTGTGGACGGGTGTTTGATAGCTTGATCCTAGGCCCTCTGGTTCTTCAGATCTTCGGCTCTTTGAGTGGATGAGTCCCCTTGGCGACCTGTGGGCTGGGGCTGAATCTCAGGCGAGCACAGCAGCGACTGATCTATTGTTTCTGCAGGGCTGAGGGGACCAGTGCAGGAGGGGGCGTCACGGGGAGACCGATTTCCTCTCCTTGTTAGAGGAGATGGTACAAGATGAGTGGGCTTTGTCTGGAGGTGGGGTCCCTTGTCACCGAAGAGGCTCAGATTCAGGCTGAAGAACTGGGGAAGGGAGACGGAGGCTCCGAGACACAGAAGTGGCGTGAGATGGGCCGGATGTCCTACCGCACAGGACGAGCATGACAGAGAAGACACCCAGACAACACACTCGTCCTCGGAGAGGTTCTGACCAGCAGAGAAGAAGGCGTAAGGCTGTGGCCCTGATGCACTGCCAGCTCAGAGTCCCCTCAGAACTGGCTGTGTCTGAGCCTTCGCATTCCACGAATCCTGACTTGGTGGGAAGCAGGAAGGAGGAAAGGGGAGACCTTGGTTCCCGCTGGGGAGAAACAAGGAAAGATTGTGGAGTGAGCCCCATCAGAGGAAGAGTCTCGACCCCTTGGGCCCGCGGTGCTGCTCTCACGTGGCCCGTCACAGCCTCTCAGGAACCTGTGTGTCCCCCTGTTCAGCCTCAGCGTGCTCCTGGCCACAGCAGGAGCCCAAACCTCACGGCCCAAGGTCACTTTTCAGGTCAGCGTCCTCCTCAACAAGTGCCCGGCCCATCGTGTGCCATGACCCTGGACTAACCTTGGTGACGTCACTGGGTGGCAGTCAGGACAGCCTCGCTTTGGGAGCTTGATCCCAGCTCTGCTTCAAACCAAGTGTGTCCCATGGACAAGTCATGGTGCCTTCTGGACATCGCTGTCCTTATCGGTAGAGTGCGGACATGGTAGATGGCCCAGAAGTCTCCTTCAGTTCTGGTACGTTCCATGGTCGCTGGGTGATTGGATCTACAGCTGATGCGGACTCAGTGACCTGATCGTCTGTCTCCAGCTCTGAGAATAGTGGTTGGTGAAGGTCGGCAGGAAGTCACCATGACAGAAACAGTGTCCCGTCACGTGCGCACTGCTTCCAGCCCCTTGTCACATTGGACGTGTGCAGGGCCAGACGTGATCTCTTACACCTGCGACCTGCCACCCTCTGCTTTCAAGATCAGTGTTAACTTCAGGTGTTAGAGCTCTGCAGAGAAGCAGAGCCAACGGGTGTATGTCATGGCTGACTTAGTACAAGGAATTGGCTCCATAGCAATCATGAGCTGAGCAGCAGACCCAGGAGGGCTGGTGCTGGTGTCGCTGTGAAAGCCGGGGGTCAGCGGGGATGTGTCGGCGCCCCTGTCCGCCAGAGCGAACCCCCTTCCTCCTGCTCTTCCATTCGGACCGGATGCTGCCTGCCCACACTGGGCAGGCCCCTCTGCCTTCCTCTACCGGTTCAAACGCTCATCTTGTCTGCAATCACCTCCAGACACACCAGGAATAATGTGTAATCTGGGCGCCGCGTGTCCCAGTCAAGTGGACATAGGAAGTTCACCATCACGTTCCACTAGAATTAAAGGGCCTCAGACTGTTGTCCTGTGTCCACCTCTCTGCAGGGCCACGTCCTGACCATGCCATCACTTCTTCCGTGGCAAGAGAAAATAATACGGTTTCCCCTTCGTTGCTCTAACACTGCTCCACTCCTTTTTACCATCCTGCCTTGATACACTGCATTTCTCAATTCCACAGACAATAATGCTATTTAATGTGAACTCTGTGTGCCTGGAGTTCCCTAGCCTTGAGTCAGAGAGGTTACCTGTTTCAGGCGGCTGGCAAAAGCGGTCTGTCACGCAGTTACCGTTTTCTGGGAGGAGGGAGGCGCCATCTTCTGGCATGGAGACCTTGTGTTGTAGACGCGGTTTCACCTCCAGCCTGGTCCTGCCCACAGCATCTATAGCACAAGCGTAAGGGACCCAGCCGGGGGCACGGCCTAGCGAGTAGAATTTAAAAGTAGCTCGAATCCAACTGAGAAGAACGAAGCGAGGAACTAGTTACAAAAGGAGGTAGGAAAGGGATGAGAGGCTGGGGCCTGGTTCCCTTTGTGGTAAGCTGTGCTCTTCACTACGGAGGTGAAGTGCTTCGTGTTCACATTGTGGTTTGGGGTAGGCAGGTTTAAGTTCCGACGCCTGCTGGCTGAGGTGCCGAGAGCCAGGCCCTAAACTTGACGTGCTGTCCAGATGTGTGTGCTCAGAAAAGGTCTGAGTGGAAAGCGGCCCAAGGGAAGGGGCTCTTGGCGCTGTGTTGAGGTCACTTGTGAGGGCGTGAGGCTGTGACAGAGCTGCAGGGAGTGGGGTAACGGACAGTGAGGAACGGCTGTGGTGGCCGGCTGGGAAGAAGGCCATAGGAGAGGCAGTGGGGAGCACACGGGAAGGCCTGGGGCATCGGGGAGGCAAGACAGAAAGGGGGGTTGTGCCGAGTCCATTCTGAGATGGGGCAGGAAAAAGTACGTGTCTTGAAGGTAAAGGATGGATCTGTATGGAGAAAGAAGTCCTGGGTGATGGAGATTAAAAAGTATTTGTTAAGATGAGAAGCCTGGGGCAGGGCAGGAAAGAGAGGGGAGCTTCTCCGAGTTTAAGAAAGGGGGGCTCATTGTGCACAAGCACCCCCACGGAGGGAGGAAGTGGGAGACGGGGAGTCTGAGCGCCTGTGTCCTGGACCACTGGGCTTTAATGGTGCCCGGAGGGCTCGAGTGCCCGCACTGGGCTTGGAAACGAAGCCTTGGACACGGGGACCCACGCTGGTTCACTAAGCACGTGTCCCCTTCTCTCGCTCCTGTTAATGGAATCAGTGCTGTGCCCAGGAAGGTCACAGGGCACGGAAGCAGTGGGCTTGAGCAGACGACCACACCTTGTCTGATGGCCGCACAGAGGAGTGAGCCTGCTGGGGCCAGCCAGGCGTCCCACAGGAAGCCGCGATGCGGGGCTGGGATACGTGCTCCGAGTGAAGAAGAGAAGGGGAGTGTCAGGAAGGAGACAGCGATGAAGACGTTCCGAGGAAATCATCCAAAACAGCACCTGTCTTGCCCCAAACTATAAAAAATGAAGAAGATTACAGTTGAGGCTTAGGTCACTCCCAAAACATGGCGGTTCCGTCTTTGACCCTAGGGTGACGTTACAGGCTTTCTCTCAGCTTTCCCTGGACCGCTGGCCTCGGGCCTGCGCATGGCAGGTCCCTGGATGTTTCTGGAGGTTGTGGATCCTGGTCCATGCTGGGAAATCCTTTTGAATTGAAACTTAACATTTTATAGAAGCAGAGAATGTCTTTCCCACTTGGTAACTGTCTTGGAGTGCAGAACTGGCTGGAAAAAGGCTGGGATGGGTGGCAGGGACTGGATGTGTGGCATTTTGGGTTTTCTGCCACAGCGCTTCCTGGCAGACACAGCGCTTCCAGGTGGGCAATTGTTGAGTTGTGCATCCTTTTTTAAACTTGTTATTTTGAAATACTGTGAGACTTATGAGAAGGTGGCCTTACCCTAACAGCAGGCCTAAGGAAGGATTTGCAGAGACCAGAGAGATGGCACGGTGGAATAAGGTAATCGCTTTGGGTGAAAGCTTTTTTCTTGAAAAAGAGGCTTGGCACTAACGCCAGTGGGGAGGACGACTACAGACACATCGAGTTTGTAACCTAGCTGCCAACTGTATGCCCTCTGCTGTGCATGGGACCCACTCCTCTCCCGCGGCCGCTGACTTTGCGGTAACGTGGAGCTGCTTCCTGGGCTCCGCTCTGCAGGCTCTCCGGCCCAGAATGTGTCTTGTCAAGGGGTAAAGAGCAAACTGATTTCATTCCTGCTTAAAACTATCGCAGTCATTCCAAAATAGAATACGTAAAATTTCTCTGTATTAGGAAAAGAAACGAGATACCAATTGTATATTTTCTTTTCTTTATTTATTCTCTGTAAGTCTGTCAGATGATAAATTGTAAATAACAACGATTAAAGAAATATGCTACTGATGGGTCCTCCTTTCTGTGCAAATAGCACCAGCTCTGGGCTTTGTCACCTTTACTCCTTGCACCCTTTTTGGAGAAGTGAGGGGGCACGGGGTGGAGCCCAGGGTGTGCGATGCCTGTTGGGGCGGGGGACAGGGATCTGGCAGAGCTGTTGGCCCAGGCCTCTCACATGTTTGCTGCCTGTTTGCTGGAAGACAAGTGTCTGGGGCTCTGGCATAGCCAAACATACCAGACTAGGCTTTCATGTTGTCACATTCGTCCAGCTCTGGGGACTCCGGTTCAGAATTAATTGGGGATTCTATATGGTGGTTGTCACAAAGCTGTCTCTGATGCACAGAAATCCCTCCTAAGTCCAAACATGGTCTGTCAAGCCTGCCCAGGCACACAAAGCCACAAAGGCTTGACGGACCAGGATACAGACTCAGTCTTCATAACAGACTTTAGGGTGGAGCCTGGCAGACCCACTGCTTCTTACCTGGCCCCTGGAGAACGTGCTTACACTTTTAATTTTCTGAGTGATGTGAACGTATTTTTTCAGCGAGGGCCATGACAGATAAGGGAGGGGACACGGAGTCTCAGAGAATGACCGGAGGCGGCTATGGGACAGGCCCATTCCGGCTTGAGGTCCTCTGATTCCGTGCTCTAGTCCAAGTTTTCAAAACTGGTAACTCGTGCATGATTCTACATAAAATTCTTCATAACATCAATGTTCCAAAGGTGATTTTTTTTTTAGAGAAGGAGGTCCGGGAGCAGGAGCGGGCTGCGAAGAGCACAGTGCTGGACCCACGCATGCGAAGAGGAGCGGACTAGAGAGAGGACAGTCCCCGGGCTCCGGCTCCTGGTCCCGAACTTTCCGGTAAAGCGACGGCTGTGCTGCAAATGCCCCGAGGCTTCGCGGATCGACTGTCAGTCTGAGCGGCCGGAGTACAGATGCCGCGCGGGCCAACGACCCCGGACCCGGGGCCTCGGGCGAGTCACCCGCGCAGCGGAGGCGGCGGCGCCGGGATTGGCTCGGAGGCTCGGCGCCCGGCGGCCCCGCCCTCGGCCTATCTCACCCCACCAGGAGGCGCTGCGTCCCGGGCCCTGATTGGAGGGCGGGTCGGGGGCGTGGCCGCGCCGCGTCCTGGGGCCTGATTGGGCGGCGTAGCGTGCGTTCGAGAACCCCGGGCTCTGATTGGATGGCAGAGCGGGGGCGGGGCTGGGGGGGTTGGTGTCTCGTCTCGGAGAGCCGCGCGCTTCCTGCTCCGCGGCTGAGCGTCCGCGCGCCGCGATGGGGAAGGTGGTGCTGGTCACCGGGGCGAGCAGGTGAGGCCTCGCGGGCGGCGGCGGCGGCGGCGGGTCGGGGTCCGAGCGCCCGGCCCGGCGCGTGCCTGGGCGCCCCCTCCTCCCCGCCCGCCTGGGCCCCGGGCCGGGGAGGAGGCCCCGTCGGGCCCCGGCCGGTTAACGAGCCCGTGTCTGCCTCCCCCGCAGCGGCGTCGGCCGAGCGCTGTGCCAGCGGCTGCTGCAGGAGGACGCCGGGCTGCGCCTGTGCTTGGCCTGCAGGAACCCGCGCCGCGCCGAGGCCGCCCGCGCCGCGCTGCTGGCCGCCTGCCCCTCCGCGCAGGTCAGCGTCGTGCAGGTGGACGTCGGCGACCTGCGCTCCGTGCTGCGGGCCGCGCGGGAGCTCCGGCACAGGTGGGCGCCCCTCCCGCCGCCGGCTGCCGGGGCCGGGCCGCGCAGCAGCGGACAGGAGGAGGCAGGGCGGGCAGCCCCGGGCAGGGGGCAGCGAGGAGTGAGCCCGGGAGCCGTCTCCCCTTTTCCTCGTCGTGCTGGGTGTGTTGCGGAGACGCACGAACGCGCGAGCGCACCTCGGCGGCGTCATGTGATGCCTCGCGCGGCGCAACGCCCTTGACACCTGCGCGCGTGTTGGCGTCTTTCCCGTCGCTCGGGACGGGCGGGTGCTGACATTTGAAGGGAGGGACTCAGACCGAGAAACGTGCGGAGGTCGCAGGAGCCCCTGCAGCTCCTGCCCCCGCGGCACCCAGGCCTCCGCCCCGGTTCTGCAGGGAAGGCATTGAGTCACCACAAGTCAGCCCTCTAGCACCACTAGGTATTCAGTCATGTCTGTGACTTCGCCTGAAGTTAAGGGGCGAGGCTGTGGGGCAGAGGCGGGCGCTGGGGGGTGACCGAGCGGTCCCGGCGCCGGGTATTTATTTCACCCTCAGAACAGCCCCTGTGAGATGGGTGCCGTTATCCCGACTTAGGACACGATGGCTGTAGTGCTGCCGGTTCGGGAATTCGGGGCAGTGTCCAGACGCCGCTTTTGCTCGAGTCAAGTGTGCCCTGCACTTGGTGGCCCGAAGGGGCATCTTTGGGTACGAGCCTGAAGTGCGTGAGAAGGCGGGTCCCCGCGGCGGAAGCTGCACCGGCGCTGACCCCGGGCCTCCCCGTGTGCCCGGGGCAGTGAGATCCGGGCAGCCGGAAACTGAGAAACACGGCAGTTCTGTCTCATGCAGAACAGAGCCGTGACGTCGGCCACTCGGTCCCCGCGAGTGGTAAGGGGGCCATTGTACTGAAGCCAGACCTTCACGTGGCGTTCTGGGCAGTGTCCACGCCTTGCTGAGCGTTTCCTCCCCGTTCCCAGCAAAATTTGTGAATACACTTAGATGAAATTTGCAAATTAGATAATGGAACAGCTGACATTAGATGGACCCACGTTTTGACCTGATGGTATCAACATTTTAAGCATTTTAACAGTTTAGTACTTAGAGCCACTGGGCTGTCAGTTACTTACAAGATGAAGAAACGTTTGTGGTTGATCTGCGTCGTAGCTCCTGTGTGTCAAGGTCCCAGCTTTAGTCTCTGTTGCCCGTCCTATCCTGTGCTGGACAGGGACAGGGGACAGTGTGGTGCACAGAATTCCAGGACATACTCTGAGTACCATGAGCACAGGCTCTACTTGTCTTGAACCCAGTTCAAAAGAAATACACTTAGATTCAGGCTTACATGGGTTTAAAAATGAACATGCATTCTCGGTCAGCATTTCACAGTTCTTTCCATGGCGCGTGTGTCCAGAGCCTAGTGACAGCGCCTTGGCCCTTCCAGCGTCTGCGATCCCCTGCATTCCTGGGAGCTTCATCATTTTAGGCTGCAGAGCTCCTGGCATGAAAGATGTCCCCAGGGTCTCCTGCGTTAGTAGGTGTCTTGGCTTTCAGGCTCCAGCACTGATGGATCAAGTTAGGTGAATGTTTATATCAGTATTATACAGACTTTACTTGTCAACCATGAAAGATGTGAATCTTAAAAAAAAAAGGGGGGGCAGAAAACTTCCTGAGATCAGAAGGACGGGCCTTTAATAGACAGAGGGCTGCCACGGCCCAAGCGGGGGTCAGGGCTGGAAGGCGAAGGCCGGACCTCAGAGCCCAGGGCAGCTCCCAGCCTGGATTGAGTCACCGTCAGAATCGAATCCTCACGTGACTGACTGACACTTGTGTCTTGGTGTCTCCTGTAGGTTTCAGAGGATAGACTGTGTGTATCTAAATGCTGGGATCATGCCCAACCCACACCTGAATGTCAGAGCACTTTTCTCGGGTATCTTTTCAAGGTAATTTCCATGTTCCAGGTAACCTGGTTGGCAGGAAGGGGTTTTTCTGCCTGTTTCTCCAGCAGGGACTGTCTCTTCAGCATCTCCAGTTGAAAAGGCATTTAGAAGTCATACAATTGTCTTCTGCTGTTTCAGAAAAGCGATTCATATGTTCTCCACAGCTGAGGGGCTGCTGACGCAGGACGACAAGGTCACTGCCGACGGGCTCCAGGAGGTGTTCGCCACCAATGTCTTCGGCCACTTTATCCTGGTAAAGTATCACCAAGCCAACACTCGGTGCTGGGATCCTAGAGACCTGCCCGGGCACACGGCTGTGCTGCTCTGGGATGCTTATTAGCGTATGGCCGCCCTTCCAATGGGACAGTCGCTCTCTGCTCTGAAAACGTAGCTGCCCACAGCGCCCCACTGATGTGCGTGTTCATACGGAGACTATTTGACATGGCGCTGAAAAGCTGAGCGGCAGGGACAAGAAACACAGGTGCCTTTGGACACAGTCCACGGAGCTGGGGGCAGGCGCCCGGCCCGGCTCTAGGTGGCCTGTGGCTGGGCCTCTGACAGGAGGCGTGGCAGCCAAGCCCTGGCTGAACAGAAACTCCCGGCCCGCCTCTGTCGTGATGGCTGCTTTCTTGAGCCTCCGTCCTTGGGTGCTCACATGTGATGTGAAGTGAGAGATGCAGGGCTTGTCCAGCTTGTGCTCCAGCCGCAGGTCAGTCTCATAGGACGACTTAAATGTCCAGATCAAGTCACGCCAGCTGCTGTCATCGTGGGGGCGGGAAGAACCGCCCGTGACCTGGTCTCTGACACCTGTCTTCATGGTCCCTTTTCTTCACTTTGCACCTGTTTTCCTTCAGAATTAGACCTTGTGAGGACTGGCTTATATTTGTTACAAATTAAGGTATCTGGGGAGCGCCCTTCTAGTTGCTAGATGAGATGCTGCCCAATTCATGAATTGCCTAATAAAGCCAATTAGATCTTAAAAAAAAAAAAAAGATATCTGCAAACATTAGGAGATCACAAAACCACTAAATGAGATCGCGCTTTGCACCGGTGTGGGGCGGCCTCCAGTGTTTTAAGCGGAAACCGCAGGGTATGTGTGTGCAGTGCGACCCCACTTGTGTGAACATGTTTATGGTTAATACACGTGTGTCATACCCCAGGCAGGTGGGGACACTGGCTGCCTCTGATGGCCGGGTGCCGGGGTGCCGGCACGGGTGGGACAGCCACGTACCATTCTGTGCCCTTCAGGACTGTTTTTTTAATGATATTGTTCTTTCAAAAGATAATTAAAATATAAAGTCAGGATGGGATTGAATTCTTATCCAGCCTTTTAAAAAACAACTTTACAGAGATCATTATCTAATATTTCCTTTACCGTTTTATAGGCATTGTTTGACGTATTCCTTTATCTTTGTATCCTCTCTTTCTTTGACATTTTTTTGAATTATTAAATTAATTGGTAATGATAAAGGATAAGTAACATATTACTGTTAATATGTGTAGCCTGTTACGTTTTCTTTAACAGACTTTGTTTTAGGATAGTTTCACATTGGCTGAGCCATCACCACGTGGGCCTTTCTGGGCGCCTCCCCTTGCATATCTGTGACCCCCGCTCTCACGGTGACAGATTTATGGCGGTTTCAGGCTTGTTATCCTGTGTCCCCCCTACCCCTCCAGACTTTGATGCAACTTTTGTTCCTTTTTTTTCATCAGATTCAGGAGCTGGAACCTCTGCTCGGTCACAGCGACAGCCCGTCGCGACTCATCTGGACGTCCTCTCGCAACGCGAGGAAGTCCAACTTCAGCCTGGAGGACTTCCAGCACAGCAGGGGCCAGGAGCCCTACAGCTCCTCCAAATATGCCCTGGACCTTCTGAGTGTGGCTCTGAACAGGCACTTCAGCCAGCGGGTGAGGCCTGTGGGTGACGTGGACACGCGGGATAGCGCCTTCGGACCTGCCCTCGATGTCCCAGTCATGTGGCTCTCTGCTAACCATCGTGGCCTAGGGGAAGCGCTGCTGTCCTCGAGCAGGGCTGCCGCGAGGACACAGCTAGACGATGACACTGATAGTGGGTGTGTGTGAAGCTTTCAGGGCGGAGCTGACCGGCTCCTGACCTCTAAGGGACGGGGGTCCGTGCCCCCTGCGGTCGCTCTTCCAGAGCTGCGATCTCCAGAGCAGCGACACTCACACCACCAGTAGCTGCTGTGTCTTAGGTGCTGTGCTCTTCCCCTGTGTGTGCTCTGTCACCTGCGCTCCGTCACAGTGACATAGGTCTGAGTCTTCCCATCTTCTTACGAGAGGCTACGGCATCTCCCCAGAGGCCACACGGCTGGTGAATGGTGGGGCCCAGGGTGGAGCCTGGACTCCTGCCCCCGGTGTCCGCACATTCAGCAGTCATAGAGCCCCCTGGGTGGTGTGACCCCAGAGCTCTGGCTGCAAGGACTCCGGGTTAGAGGGACTTCCTTTGGAGAAGGCGGCCTTGTCAGCCATCGCCTTCTATAGCCTCCGAGGTCTGGAACTGACCGCGTCCTTATGTCTGAGATTTTAACTGAACGTCTCAGCCCCTCCCATGGCATTTTCCTATGTTTGCTCTGACTCTGTTGTTTGAGTGTGGATCTGGGGAATAATTTAATTCCGTTAATGTTTATGAAAGACCTACCACATGCAGGGCCTGGCTTGGGATCGAGAGGGAGGGAGAAATGACGTCCTTTGAATCCTGTGTGACTGGACATGGTGTCAGGCCCCCAGGGCCGCCTGCTGGGGCCTGTCCATCTGGTAGTGACCCTCTAGCTGCATTTCTCTGTGTTATTGGGGCTCTTTCATCAGCACGGGTTTTTCCAAGGTGACGAGTCCCAGGCTGAGGCCCTGACTGGAGACCTGTGGTGGGAGAAGTTCTCAGTGGGGCCACATGCAGCCCTTCGGTCCTCTCTGACGCCAGGAGCTCCCACTCCAGCTGGAGGGCAGGGTAGAGGTGCGTCCCCCGCGCCTGCTGGGACAGACACGCGGGAGGTGTGCGGTCTGCGCCCATGAGAGCAGAGGCTCGGAGGCCAAGACTGCTGTGTCTCCTCATCTTAAGTGCTCGCGTGACCCATGACCTGTGGGGCCGGTAACACGCCAGGGGAGCAGCCGCATGTTCCTCTGGCCCCAGCCTGGCCGCTCTGCATCCTGTAAGCTCCTTGCCAGAGACTGCGTGTCGCTGAGTGTGGCGTCCTGAGCGCCTCTCATCGTGAGCTCTCAGTACCCGATTCTTGGCTGAAATGGTCGGCCCAGCGCCCCGCCCTGTCTCCTCGCTTGTCGCCTCCCTGACGAGTGAGCGCGAAGCTGGCCCGAGTCAGCACACCCTGAACTCAGCCCTGCTGCCCCTGTGCCCCCAGGGCCTGTACTCCAGCGTGGCGTGCCCGGGGACGATGCTGACCAACTTGACCTACGGGATTCTGCCGCCCTTTCTCTGGACCCTGATGATGCCGATCATATGGCTGGTAAGCGCTGAACACGTCTCAGTTCACTTAGGCGGTTCCATTAAGGACGAAAAGGCTGTGTTTGAGGGCTGGGAAGCGATTTGAGAAACTGAACCCGTCCCACTGGAGGTTTTGAAGTCAGAACGTGACGTCTGCTTCCTGCCCCACGCACCATGGCTGAGCGCCTGCCTCCCGTGCGGGGCGTTTCCCTGACGGCACACAGGAGACCTGTGCTAGGCGATGCTGACCGGACTCGGAGCTTCCCGTGTGGGCCTGTGCATGACAGCTTCCCGGGAGGGGGTGTGAACCTTCGGGCCACAGACCCGTGCTGCTGCTCCCTGCTCTGGGTTTTAAGCGTCTGGTAGGAGCGGTGTTCCTGCAGCACAGAGAAGAGGCCGCTTCTAGGACCTGCTCGTCCCTGTAGAGCTCAGGAACTGTCCCTTCCGCCCCCCGTGGGCCGCCATAGGAAAGAGACGAGAGGGAACAGGCGTTTGCGCTAAAAGGGCTTTGCTGGAAGCAGTGGAGCCCCAGTGCTGTTTCTACTTTAGACTAATTTAGGTTTTTGATGCTTAAAAAATGTTCAGTAGTAAGAAATGCAGGTTATCTGTTTAGGTTTGTGAATGAGTGAGGCTTGTGTGGCTGCATTCCAAACACTCCAATGACCGCTGCTTTCTTTCCCTCAGCTCCGCTTTTTTGCAAACGCCTTCACTCTGACGCCGTACAATGGGGCCGAGGCGCTGGTACGTTGCTGGTTGGGGGGCCTGTGCGGCCGCTTAGCGCATGCGCACTGCGCTGCTCGGCAGAACGAGACGCACACCGGCACCCTCTTCCTTCCCAGGTGTGGCTCTTCCACCAGAAGCCCGAGTCCCTGAACCCGCTGAGCAAGTACCTGAGCGCCACCACGGGCTTGGGAAGCAGCTATGTAACGACCCAGAAGGTAAGTGTGTTTGCACTGTGACCGGAGAGGTTTACACGCGGCCAGGGGGACGGCCCCACCGGCTTCCCAGGGAGCCACCTGCTGCCTGGGGAACCTTCCCTGGGATTCGCGTTTTGCTGGCTTCACTCTGGGCCGCTTCCGTTTCCGTCTGCTCTCCTGCCTCTGGGCCTTTGCACATCTTGTCTCCACCCAAACTGCTTTCCCCTCCTTTCCACAGGTGGATTTCTGCTACTTATCCTTAAAATCTCAGCACGTGTCCCAGCCTCCGGGACCCTCTAGACGGGGTCGGCGCCTCCATTACAGGCTGTCCCAATGGCTCCTGCCGCTGTGTGCAGTGCTTGCTCAGCGTGGGCTCCCCTGTGAGCGTAAGCTCCGGACGAGGGTGACACCCCTTTCCTGGCCGTTGCCAGGTGCTCAGTGAGCGCGCCGTGAGCGGGACGGAATAGGAAATGTCTTGAGCGGACTCGCCTTCCCTTCAGGGGGTCAGTTCTGCTTTTGACAGTTATTAGCCTTATTAGATTGGTGCCAATGAAGAGGCAGGAGATGGAGGGTGGAAAACATCAGTGCTGTGTTTTTTGGACTCTGTTTCATCTTAAAAGAAATGAAGCACAGAGTTACCGATTAGTAAATGAGAAAATTTATTTTGAACCTACAAAAACTGTTTTTGTTGTGTTTTTGTCATGAGTGAGGTTTATTTCTGCCCCCCCCCCATTTTTTTACTGCCCAGCTTTTGGGGGCGGGTGGGGCGGTGATATTGGCATAAAGAAAACCAGATGGAGGCGAGTACATCGCGAGCTAAGTCACAGGGTTGGCGGCGTTCTTGTGTGTGTGTCAGCAGCTTCAGGTCGGGGGTTGGCGCCTGTCTCTAAAAATGAGCCTGTGAAGCTCCAGCGTTTTCCACAATCAGCTCTGGGGACGCTGGCTCCTCGACGAGTTGCAAAGAAACGACGAGTTGCAAAGAAACGGTGCCTCGGACAAGTAAGCTTGAGAAATGTTCCCTCGCGGAGATGGTTAGCCTGGTGACGGCTGTGAGAGGTGACACAGATGTGAGACGTGTTTAAAACAGGGGTTTTCAAATCGTCGTAACTGTTGTGACTTTTCTTCTTCAGATGTGACAGGACACTTAGTGACCCCAAAGAGCCCTCCTTGGGAGTGCGATTGTAAATGAGAAAGCCGGAAGCCCTCAGAGCGCGTTTGCAGGGCCTGCCTGTTAACTTGAGGGAGTGCCGGTTACTGGGGGTGAGACGGTTACTTCTGTGCGCCTGTCGAAGAACGCTTAACCTCCGATTAGTGCGGGGAGGTCGCCTTCTCTGCCGAAAGGTGGGGCTGAGCTGGACAGATCCCTAAGCTGCTTCCAGTGTGGGAATGGATAGAAATGCTATTTCCAGAATGTTAAAAAGGTGTTTTAAAATTTCAAGTTTTGTGCAGAAAGACTGTCTCTGAGGTTTAGACTCTGCGTTGACTTGGATCAGTTACCGCTTTATGTTATAGTGGCTGAAAGTGCTTTTCCGTCGTGCGTGTCAGGGAAGATCGGGCTTTCTTCATGAAACAAGGTAAAACGCCAGCGGGTTACGCAGGATGGAAGCCGAGATTGTGCGTGTGGACGAGCACGTGGGAGAGACGGCCTTGGGCTGGCATGGCCGCTCCCCAGACGGCAGGCACTGAGGCTCCTTGTCACCGCTCTGCCATCCCTGGGGTGACACCCTCGTTCTCGTGGCTGAAGAGAGCAGAGCGGGCCCCCTTCCTTTCAAGGACGCCTGGGAGGCGCTGCACAGCCATCCATCGGGTCGTTGGCCAAAGCTCAGGCACTCACCGCCCACTGGCCTGGGCGGGGGCTGGCGTGTCGTCCTCCTTGGAGGGCAGGGAGCTGCCAGCACCAGGGTCTTTGACTGAAGAAGGTGAATGGTAGGAGGTCGGTGGCAGTTGGAATTAAAAGGCAAACGTCTTGATTGTTCTCATTGGGCCCTTTGCCCGAGTTGGTTGATGTATTTTGTGACTGGGTCCCAGGAGCTGGAGGACAGCAGGGCTGGACCTTCCAGTCTGGCTGTTTAGGGAGAGTCAGTGGTTCGCTGAGTGTCGGGGCTGGACGGAGAGCCGGCATGCCCTCGGGATCTTGGGGTTCGGATGCCACAGCCCTTCTTCCTCTCCCAGTTCTCTTATGCACATCGGAGGCCTCCCTGTTACACACACGACGTTTGTGGCATTTTTCCTTCCGGTCACCCTGATCTTTGATTCTTTTCTAGATGGACATAGATGAAGACACAGCTGAAAAATTTTACCAAAAGTTGCTGGAACTGGAGAAGCACGTTAGAGGCACCATTCAGAACACAGACACACAGAGCTGATGGGGACACTGAGCACCCCCCGTGTGCCCTGGAGTCCCTGTCGCGTGGGGTGATGTCACCTGTGGTGAACTGTGACTGGCCCTCTCCTGCCTTACAGAGTCACCTGCAAGACTGTGTGCTCGTGTGTGCACGCAAGGAAAGAGTCTCAGAGTAAACCATCCGTTAGCCAGTCCAGGCGGGGTCACATCCAGAGCCCTAAGTGCCTGAACCTCCCGACAGCATCTGTCCACCACGTCCTGCCAGGGGAGCCCACGCCGTGCCCATGGAACAAACACACACCTGACAGCCGTGGCTCGAGCACACGGCCCACCCCGCGCTCGGACCCACTCGGGTGCAGGCTCGGCTGTTGCCCTTTCCGTTTCTGACCTTATTTCTTCCCCACGTGCTGCTTCTAACAGTCCTGAGGTTTTCGGTCCCGACCGTCCGAACACAGATGCCGTGTGGTCAGTCCCAGGAGCGGAGGTGTGTGCTTGTGCCGTTTCAGCTGCTTGTCCCCTAAGAGCGTCTTTGTCCTAAACTGTGGGAGCCGTGTTGGCGTCGGACCTGCTCCTCACTCTGTGGGCAACTCTGTTCTTTACTGAGCGGCGTGTTTTTTTATCGTATTTGGATGGATGCGAACTTGCGGCCGAACAGTGATTGGCTCACGATGTTCCAGTAAAATCTTCCACTGGATTGTTGCTGGGGGGCAGCTGCTGGCCTCCCGAGGGCGGAAGTGGTCGGGTCTGGTTCCCATGTGTGAAGACAAAACGCTCGGATGCCGGGTGCTTTTATGCTAAGTAACCAACAGGAGTGCAGTGAAGGGGCTGATGTTTGGAATGAGTTAGCGAAAGTGAAAAGTATACATAAATGTGATTTCTATACATTTTGATGTATGAACTTTTGTTACAATGTCTCTGATTATGTCGCTAAAGGCATTTATAATAAAGTTACATGTGTGCACAGAACCCGAGGCCGCTGTCCAGTGAGAACTGAGCTGTTCGCCCCTCCCGCCCTCACGTGTTTGGGGAGCAGCCCGTGGTGACAGGCCAGTCCCTCGCCTGTGACGTGGGCACTTGTCTGCCCACTCCCTCTGTCTGTGGCTGTGGAGTGGACGTTGAATGCAGGAACACAGGTCAGGGACTCAAGTGCGTTGTTGAGAATGATGACAGAGTTCCTGTTGAGACCAGAGAGTTGGAATGTCACAGCTCGACGTGACAGCGTGATGCCCGGAGTGACCGCATGGCTCTGGCAATGCACGGATGTCACTGGGAACAGAGTGTGTGAACTATTGCAGATCGGGGGCCGTCAGATGCGTGGAGACACAAGCACACCACCGAGGGACGTGCAGAGCATTTAATTCTCAAGATCACGCACCGAGGTGTGTGTGGAGCAGGTTAGCCTGGTGGGACCAGCCTGGGCTGCGGCCACTCTGCCCGCCGCCTCGGTGATGGCCCTGTCCTCTGGCTGTGGCTCCCAGAGGAAGACCCGCTCAAAAGGGACAGCTCACTGTGAAGTCACCTTGGGCGGTTGGTTGTGTTGGAGACAGACGGGGAGAGGGCTGATGAGGAAGGCGGCCGGGCAGTCGGCGTGTCCTGTGCCGCTGGCCCAGCCTCAGCTGGTGTCAGTGAATTACTGTTCGTGAGTCCCCTTTGTCGCCCTGGCCTGCCTTCCCCGTGGCTGTGATCCTTGGAAGGAAATGTCAGAGGCACCGTTCTTGGCAGCTGTGTGTGGCCAGCAGGTGGCACCTAAGGCTCTGTGGGGATGCGAGCAGGACCGGAAGCTTTTTCCTTCCTGGAAAAGCCCTGTTGTAAGTGTAGACGCACATCCTCAATGACATGCGCAACGCGGGCGCATCGCATAAAATGTCCCTAGAGTCACGTCTCCCCTCATTTTCACGGGGCAGCGTTGCTGATTCAGTGACAGGTGACGGTCCATCAAAGGGAAAAAATGATATAAAATGAAATGGACGGTGTGTTGCCGACCACTCAAGGCAGCCACCTGAGCACGTTTCTTCAGTGACCATGGTGACTGTCACTGAGGCCGTAGCAGGTGAGACAGGAGGTGGCTTGGGCGGCCGCCCTGCTCCCCCCCTCTCTGCCCTGGGGCACAGGCCCCCCGTGCCCAAATATCTCCCCAATGCTGAGCAGCCTCTCCGACTCGGGGGGCAACCTGTGCCGCAGGTAGTGGGCGCGTCCAGCCTTTGCACACAGCTCCAGGTAGGTAGCCCCTGAGGACTTGCCCTTGAGGGTCCCTGCACATCCTGGAGGCCTCGGGGACACCCGCTCCCCCACGCTGAGGTCTGGCTGCAGGCCGGCAGCTCCCGATCGGGCCTCGTCACCGTCGCCCGATGGGCCGGCCCCGGGGCCTGGGTCTGCTGTGCCGGCTGGGAGACCTTGACCCCGACACAGAGCAGAGACGCCCGCGCCGGCGGGACAGCCCTTTGCTGGCCTTGGAGCCTCTTCCTTTCGGGCTGGTGGCCTGTCTTTTCTGAAATAGGACGCGCTGCGATTTTGAGGTGGCGATGGCTCTTTGCTTACCGTGGGGTCCCTGAGGCCAGTGTGACAGGAAGGAGGCATCTGGGACTCGGGTTTGTGTGTTTCTTGGGCCATATTGGTTGCTGGTGCTCTGAGAAAGGAGGTAATGAGAAGAAAGATCTCTGAAAACCTATGAAGATGCTTGTATTTTGAACTTTCAAGTTGTCAGAGCACGGCCCCCTTGTGTGGTATCAGCCAGGGTGACGGGGGTGAAGGGTGAAACTGGGTGGAGACGATGTGGAAAGCGTCTGACTTAAGGGGCAGTGTTTCCTCGGGAGGGGACATGTGCAGAGACCTGGGAGGGGGCCTGAGTTAGGGGGTGCGTCTCACCTAACACCACCAGCCTGTGGGGCTCCGTGCGTCCACGCTCCCTGTGGCGGGGACACGCGGACGGCTTCCGGTCGCTTCTGAATTCCATTCCCGAAATAAGAGGAGCGCTTTTTCCTGACGATACCTGCTTTGAGTTAATAAGTGTCACAGGTTGAATCGTGTCTCCCCGAAATGTATGTGGAAGTTGGACCCCCAGGACCTCAGCATGTGATCTTGTTTGGAGACAGGGCGTTTACAGAGGGAATGAAGTCCAGTGGGCTTTGGGGGGGGCTGTCACCCAGCATGACTGGCATCCTGTGACAAAAGGGAACGAGGACACACACAGGGAAGATGGGGGGGGGGGACACACAGAAGACGGCGTCTGCAGCCGAGGACGGAGCCCGGGGCACATCCTCCCTTGGCCTCAGGAACCAGCCCTGCGACGCCTTCACCTTGGACTCCTGCCCCCAGACTGAGACCAGGCGTCTTGTTGCTAAGCCCTCACTTTGTGGCACTTTGTCCTGGCCGCCCTGGAAACTCGCACCGTGAGAGAAGGAGATGGGCAGAGAAGCAGCGAGGGACTCGCCCTGGGTGACGCTGCCCTGCAAGCAGAGCACGTGGCGGGTCCCCAGGGGCTTCCAGAACGAGCTGGCGAGGACTCGGAACCTCCTGGCTGAGGCCGAACTGGCGGGGCCCAGGCAGGCTGTGCGAGGGTTTATTTGGCAAACACGGTGTTTTCAAAAGAAGATAGATGACTGGTGTGAGCGATACCCAGAGACGGCACGGTTTCCTTCACCTCAGTCGTGGGCCCTTGGCCCACCCGAGCCCCGAGTGCTGGCCGTGGTCCAGTGTCCTCCATTCTGCATCGTGTCGTGGCTGCTGCACGGGACCCTGCTGGTTCCCAGACGCCGCCAGGTGGTCACTAGGGGCGACTGTCTTGCATGAGGACTGCTCTGAGGCACAGAGTTCCCTACAGCCGTGGCCGTTCGTGGGCACCCGCGGTGACATGACCAGACAGGCCCAGAATTTGCTCAGACTCCTAAAATCCTTCCATCTGACCATGTCTTTGTGAGGGAGGCAAGACAAGACGGTTGTGTGTGTGTCTTCCCCGTGGGAGACCGGCCCCTGTCCCCTGCACATGGAGACTTGGAATGTCACCTCCCAGCCAGCAGGGCCAGCAGGCTGAGAAAGGGACATGGCTTGTGTGTGACACTTGGCCTTTCGCCAGTGGCCCCTTGGTGAAGGCATGGCGCCTGCCTGCGTCCAGTTACCCGGTTTCACATGTTTCCGTGCCCACTTGGTGACATTTTCTGCATGTCTCAGGATGCTCACGTCTTCACCTGCAGCACCCTGCCTGCGGCCTTCAAACCCCGGCCGGAATGCTGGGGTCTCCCCTCGGGCCTGCCTTCACCATGGAGCCAGCGACCCTTCCAATGAAGAGCATATGACCCCTCCCTCAAACCCTGGAGAGCGGAATCTAAGCTCTTGCAAGAGCTGCTGGCCCCTGGGGACACGCCCGCCCTGCGGCCTCGGAGGCGACCTGCTCCCCCCCCCCCCAGCCCATAGACCCAGCAGGCCGAGCTCTGTGACCACGTCAGTCACGCAGCTTCCTCTGCACGTCCGGGCTGCCTTGCTGCCAGCTGGTCGCGGGCCACACGTGCTCGCGACACTGCCCACGCTACCCGCTCCGACATGGCGCTTACATGGCCTTGGTGGCCTTGGTGGTCCTTTGGGACAGGGAACCTGCAAAGCACGGGGACCCTGCACACACTACCTTCTTCCTTCCCCCTAACTTTACTGTCAAAGGTCAAGGCCCCCAAGGGCCCCTCTCCTGAGCACACAGACGATGTTTCCTGCCTGTTCCACACCACGGGCCACTGAGCCAGCTCCCTGCAGTGAGGACGGCCGCCCACCGCGGGCCCGGCCGTGGCACAGCCCCTGGATGCCAGGATGGTGGATGACCAGACGTAAAAAAGGTGAAACCAAATGAACCCAGACACAGCGAAGGGAAAGCAGAATGAAAAACCAAGGAAGAAGCTGAGTGCGGAGGGTTCAGGCGAGAGAAGCCGATGGAAAGACGGAAGCGATGGAGGAGTTCGCTCAGGAGGGTCCGGCCATGGCCGCTGCAGGAGCTGGGTGGCTGCGGATGGAGAGACGTGGGAGGGGTGTGTGTGTGGGGTCCCCCCTCCCTGCTCAGCCCTCACCTTCCCACAGCCGCTGCCGCTGTGCCTGGAGCTGCCTCTGCTCCCGGGCCAGCTGCGCCAGGCGACGCAGGCGGGCCACCTCCAGCTGCTGCAGACGCTGGCCGAGCCTGGCCTCGGCCTGTTTGGCCACCTTCCTCTCCACGTCTAAGTGCTTGTACAGCTGCGCCCGGACCGCACGGCTGCCCATCCTCGTGGCCCGGACACGATCAGAAAAGCTGCTCGCAGGCGCCTGACGGCCGGCAGAGCAGGACCGGGACACTGACCCCTGGCACCGGTCCAAGGTCAGGGTTGGAATCGTGTGTGTTG